TACACATTGATACAAGTAATTATCCCTGTGCGAGCATGGGATTATTAGTCATTAGGAGATTCCACTTAGCTGCTTGGGCTCGGACCGAATATATATAGACCCAACCCGAGATTTATCTCCTGGTTGGGCTGGCTTTTACAAACTAAGTTTGGGCCCGGATTCTGAAAGCCCAACTTAAGCTCAAGTTGGGCTTGGTTAATGGCTTGATAATCCAAGCCAGCCCCAACCTCAATCTGAATCAACCTCCAATTCAACCCCATTTGTGCTTGGATTAGCACCTTGAGTTGACCTGGCACCAGCCTTAGATTGCCCCTCTACACATAACAATTGGAAATGGGTTCATCCTAGGCCGGATCTAATCTGCCCAGGTTGCATTCCTACGACTACGAAATCATCAGGTAGAGAAAGAAGGGAATCATCATTCCAAAAGCAACAAAAGTAAGCCATATCCTAAGCTTTTCCTTTTGGCCCAAGCAAACCAGTCTAAGCACGAGCAAGACTGACATTGGATAAGTTATAAACTGATCTAAGCAACACTACTCTCTGCAAAATCTAACAATCCATCATAAGGGATAAGTCATGATTATTAACAACACTCGTATCTGGCCCAACAATCTGGAATAAAGCATAAAATTCAGAAAGAAAGCATTCCATTTTGAGTGCTTCAGCCAAGAAAAAGAAAAGAAAAGAAAAAAAAAAGGTTTATTCAAGGTTTTAAATTTCTTAACCTATAGGCAGATATGTATCATTTTGGAAGAGTTTTGATAAACGTTCTAATTAAATGATTTTGTATTTTTTCGTTCGTATCAAACTGATACAGGTCCACCGGCATTGTATCGGTCCGTTTCGGGTATGTATTGGCCGATACAATCCGAAACGTGCCGATACATACTTGAAACAAGCCGGTATGTATTATGTATCAGCCTAATTTAATTTCCCTCTCCTTTTTAAATTTAAATTTAATTTATATCTTCTCTCTCTCATTAATATCAATTTTAATTAAGCCTTAAAGTCTGAGTCACTAAATGCTAATATAATTTAATTAAATGCTCATTTAAGTTACCTTTAATTACAACATTTAATTAATTAACCATTATGCCAGTCTCAATTACTTAGTAAAACAACATGTTTTTTTATACTTAAATAATCTTTATTGCCTTGGTGGGTGTTTCCCAACAAATGTTATAAACTTGATTATTAATATTTATATAATAATAAGATGGATACAAGTTAAATTTATTTATTAAAAATTAAGAAATATATTAACTTGTATACATAATGAATATCATCTAAACCTATATATAATAAATATTAACTAATAAAGGACTTCAAAAAAATATTAACTAATAAATATTAGTATGTATATACATACATTTTAGTTCTTTTATTATTTTTCTATGGTTACTAATTATATCCCAATACTTCGTATAAATCATTAAAGAATGATTTTTTATGTTTAAATAAATTAATTATAATCATATAAAACTCATTTTTATTATTATTTATATTTTTTAAAGATTTTTTGAATTTTCTAGTATATCCATGCGTATCTTGATTTTTCGTCCATATCTATACGTTTCCAAAACATATCTTGATACATCTTTTAAAATTACCTTTTCAATACACCTTGCATTTCCAATACTTCGAACCTTGGGTTTATTACAAGAATTGAAATATATTGGTCATAGATTCGTGTGGCTCTTGATTGCATCAATCATTAGATTCTTCCTGGGCCAAGAGGCTTTATTTTTATCTCCCACTTCCATTCTGTAGGACACATTCTATTGCATGACTGTCTTAACTCTTAAGGGATAAGCTTTTGTATGGCAAAGGAAAGAAAATGGGGTTTTGAAAGATTAAGCTCATTCACTGCAGAACTCATCTGCTGCAAGCAATGGCTGGTGTCCTTGTTTAATTTGGGGGGGATCACAAAATGTGCTGCAACCTATGTCACAGCAGATAAGGAAGTCCCTTTCTCCTTTTAGGTTTGTTTGCTTCTCCTATTCCATTGCCAATTTGCCACCTGTGCCATATCGTGCCTTCTCCTCTCAAAAAAAAAAAAAAAATTGTGTGAACAAGTATTCCTCCTTCATTCAAAAAATTTAGTGGGTTATTAATAGTCATTCATTACATTACAAGACAAGCCCAGAGGATCTATTCTTGGGCTAATTCATGAGAGCTAGATATCTCCATAAACTTATAATTTCTTCTCAATATCTGTTACTCTAAACAGGGCTCTTAAGCAAATGTTTGGTCTGATAGAAAATTAACAGAGAAACACAAAGTTGAGGGGAAGTTATTAACAAATTTTATGAAATTCCTTAAGAACTTTCAGTCATTTTTCTGCCTCTCCCTTATTTCCCATTAAACCAAACACAGCCTCAGGATTAGTGGAGCCTTCTGGAAGGGAGGGAAATTGTTAAAGGGGGCCTGTTGGATATGGGCTGAAAGAACCAGGTCTGCGTCTGAAGGCCTTGTTGATAGAGATAAACCAAGTGATCTGTCTGAAAAGTACTCATATAAAAGTTCCCTCTTCCGGTTTTGGCCATTCTCCATTCTGTGGGTGAAAGAACCATGGTTGAATGTTCGAGGCCTAAACAAAGATACTTTTCAGTTTGGTATGCTTGGCTTAACTCGCAATGAAGCTGATTTTAATGACTATCTCTTTCGGTCCCCCTTATTTTATTGTATTATGTGCAGATAGTGGAGTGGATGCAGCAGGAAAATGATCGATTATAATTGATAATGAGGTCGATTTCTCTTTCGTAGTCTTGGTAGCATCCAGATCCAATACAAGCATTTTGGTCAGTTTTCAGATGATGGGTGTAACTTGCCGTGGCCCAACCTGAATTTTTGAACGGGCTGGGATTGTACTTGTGGGCTTCGGGTTGAGCATGGGCGTAAAATATTGGGTTTATCATTTGTTTAATGAGCCTATGAAACCCGAACCTGACCCAATCCAAGCCCACCTGACCTATAGTCACATCACATGGGCAAATCCTGCTTGAATTGACCTATTGTCTCTTTAAGGCTATGTTTGGTTTGAAGGAAAATGTAGGGAAAGGAAGGGAAAGGTAGAGAAACCTTTACAAACCTTGTATTGGTTTCCCTGTCTTTCCCCTCCTTTCCCTACCTTTTCCTTCAAACCATACATAGCCTAATGTTTTGCCACTTTTTGTGTATATTTTTTCCTCGTTGCATGTGTACGAGGCTATCCACTTGGTATTTACAAAATGCAAAGATTGGAATCACTGATTAACAAATTCTAGTAAAACACATCGTCGATCAAAACAACTTAAAAAATCTATGCCGGCTAGATCTAGAGCCTTAGCCCAAGTTTGAAAAAATTTAAGGCCAGGCTTACTTAAGAGTCAAGGTTAGGAGTAAACTCATCAGGACTGGAGGGTACAAACTTTAAGGATGGGCTTGGATCACCTTAAACCTGGCCCAGACCATCCAAGTTAGTATGGGGTGCAACTAGGGTGGGCCTGATTCAGCATTTATTAAATTTTGAAAGGGGTCAGCATGAAGCCTGAACCCAATGTGGGTGAACTTAAAAGTGAAAGAGGCTAGATCATCATGGATAAAGTGGGCAATGTCATGGCCATTTCTCCTCTGTTTTCCAAAGCTACTGCTTTTCTTGAAGGGCTCTTGCTATTCAATATCAGAAGTTTTTTGTTAAAATGATTCAGATGAGTTGGTGACTATGGTTATACTGCTTCCTCATTTTTATTTTTCTCTGAGAACCTAGGGTTTTATTATCTGGTTTTACCACTTTAGTTCTCACCTTATTTCCCTCATTTGGCACTTGAGTTGCCCTTTAGTAGTTGTAGTTTCTATAATTGGAACTTCATTTCTATAGCCTGTCATTTGTATGTGTTAATGTGTGTGTGTGTTTAATAATCAGTGGAAATGGATTTCCATATGACCTAGATGTGAATCCACCATCCCATGAAACCAGTCAACTCTAGAGTGATCTTACTACATCTAGATCCATTCTGAATGGAGAAATGGATTCAGGTGCAGGTTTGGATCCATGAAGTTTTATCCATAAAAATCAATAGAATATAATTCCTAATCATATATGCATTATTGAATAAATTTTCAGTTAGTATTAACTATATGTCTAGCTATCAAAACCTACTACTTTCACGCTTTCGGCCCCATCAATTTGGGCCTCGCTTCCTATGAGATAGCTTAGATCTGAACATTGGGCTAGGGAAAGGAGAGTGATATTAAAATGGGCTTAGTTGGTCTGGCCTAATCTTATGGATCGTGCTTAAAACTGGGCCCATAGTCGTTGTCATTCATTCAGGTCACAGAGTGGTCTACGTCCACCATGTGCTTTTTTATTTGCTGCAGTCTACTCAATCAATGGCCAACAGCAACAATCAGCATAAGTAGGTGATCCCCACCGTCCATTCACTTAAACTTCACCATCGGCTCCGATCAACTGTTAGGACGGCAGTAGCCAAGAAAAGACCAACGAAAAATCAAATCTGTTGACATAAAAGACAGGGGATACTTGCTCCTTGACAAACGTCCCAAGAACAACTGGTATCAAAACATGGAGCCCACCCATGACACGTGTGACCCAGAGAAATTACCCAGGTTGGAAATCTCATGCAACTCCCACGTGGACGAGATTTGATGACGTGGAGGCCACCAGATGAAATAATATCTGACACTCTTCTGAAGCATCACGTGATTTTGTTGTCTGAGCAAAACCCACAAATTATTGTTGTCTTTGTCCCAGGGTTGTAACTTCGAACTGCTCTGTTATTGTAGGAAAAGACTCTCAGCAAAAAAAATATCAGTAGTCCAAGAATATTTGGACCATATAAAAGTAGATATAAAAGAAATATCACAAGAAATCCGGAGAAGAGAATGTGATTGGGTGCTGTATGTTGACGTGGCAGCTTCTGCAACCATAAATCTTATCCCTTCTGCTTTCCCTATCCAAACTGGACACCATAAATAAGGCTCATCCAATCTCCAAAAAATTCAGACACTCCTCTCCAAATCCAATATCCACACTAAACTATCCCAAGTCCCAACTCGGTTGTTGTCAACAACCCATTACAGTTTAACTAGTTCAAGTACTCGCAGCTTCATTTTCTGGTTCTCATGGCTCTCCAGGCAGCTTCTCTTCTTCCGTCTGCTCTCTCCGTCCACAAAGAGGTTTGCCGTTGCGGACCCATTTGTTTGAGAACTCCTTACATTGTTCCAGGCAGCTTCTCTTCTTTCCGCTTTTCTTAACACATTGTGTTTTCCTTCTACAATGGTGGCAGGGAAAGCCTAATGCATCTCTCAAGGATGCAGGGTTCTTTGGAGTTTCCCTCTCAGAACACCAAAAATCTGACCTTAACCTCACAGCAAGAACGAAGGTACAGGGTTCTACTCTACTCTCTTCTTTAATTCACTTACTATGTCTGTTTAGAAAATGCACTGGTTCCGACTCTTGAACTGAAATCCAAAAGGGGGAAGTAGGGTGTTGTTTCTTTGTAAATCTGTAACCCACCCAAAAATTTATAATCACATTGTATTGAACTTGCGATTATAAGTCCATGCTTGTGTTACGTTGTTCCTTCTCGGTTGGAATATAATCCCTTTGATCTGTCTGTTCGTATTATACTGTTTATCAATTGCACTGCTCCTGCTCTGTTCTGAGCGTACTCGATCCCTTTGGGTTTTGTTGGTTCATGCTAACAATGGGCTAAACTTGCAGAGGGAATTCAGCCAAGGGAAGCTGTCGGTTGGACCCATCAGAGCTCAGACAGCAATTGCAACTCCTTCAGTCATCCGAGCTGCGCCAGAAGGGAAGAAGACGCTGAGAAAGGGTAGCGTGATAGTCACTGGAGCGTCATCAGGTCTTGGCCTGGCCACCGCCAAGGCTCTGGCCGAAACAGGGAAGTGGCACATAATAATGGCCTGCAGGGATTTTCTCAAGGCAGAAAGAGCTGCTAAGTCAGCTGGGATTGAGAAGGAGAACTACACTGTGATGCACCTTGATCTTGCATCCTTTGACAGTGTCCGCCAGTTTGTAGATAACTTCAGGCGATCCGGCAGGCCACTTGACGTGCTGGTCTGCAATGCTGCCGTCTACCTACCCACTGCCAGGGAGCCTACTTTCACTGCCGACGGCTTCGAACTCAGTGTTGGGACTAATCACCTTGGTCATTTCCTCCTCTCGCGTCTGCTGCTCGATGACCTTAAGAAATCAGACTACCCATCTAAGCGTCTCATCATCGTCGGATCAATTACAGGCACTTTCTTTATGCAAACACAAAAGAGAAAAAATGGTTTAGTGATAATCATCAACTTATTGTGTGCTAAACATCTGTCTTAACTTGTTGTGGAATATTCAGGGAACACAAACACTTTGGCTGGGAATGTACCTCCAAAGGCGAACCTCGGAGATCTTCGGGGACTTGCTGGAGGTCTGAACGGGCTGAACCGCTCGACCATGATCGATGGAGGAAACTTTGATGGGGCCAAGGCCTACAAGGACAGCAAGGTCTGCAACATGCTCACCATGCAGGAGTTCCACAGGCGTTACCATGAGGAAACTGGGATTACATTTGCTTCCCTTTACCCTGGTTGCATTGCAACAACAGGTCTGTTTAGGGAGCATATCCCCTTGTTTAGGCTACTCTTCCCTCCCTTCCAGAAATACATCACAAAGGGCTTTGTCTCTGAAGAAGAATCCGGCAAAAGGCTTGCACAGGTCAGATGAAGATGTAGAAAATAAAGATACAAAATTAAGCAAAAGACCTGTGAATCTGTGATATCTCATCAACTGAATGGTTTTTTTATTTCTACATTTTTGGTCTTTATTCAGGTGGTGAGTGATCCAAGCCTGACCAAGTCAGGTGTGTACTGGAGCTGGAACAAGGACTCGGCCTCCTTCGAGAACCAGCTGTCACAGGAAGCTAGCGATGCAGACAAGGCACGGAAGGTGTGGGAGATCAGTGAGAAGCTTGTTGGGTTGGCTTAAATGATCGGCACCCAAAGAGAAGGTTCTTCCTGCTGAGTGCTGACACGCCTTTAATTACCATGGGGGGAAGATGAAGAAACAACTGAACTTGAACTGGGTACAAATGAGTGTTCACCTCACCTGTATGGCTTGTTGTTTACAATTAATATGGAAAATTTTGAGTTAGATGAGAGAATAAAGACACTTAAGAGTTATCCACTTCAAGAACATGAACATAGATAGAAAGCATCAGACAGCTTGAATTAGAAAAAGAAAACAAATCAATAGCATAATCTAAAGAACAGTAACTGGAGAAATTAAGTTCTAAATGGAGAAACAGAAAAATATAACAAAATTGGAAGTGTTTCAGTCGCTGCAAATGGGTTTGAACTAGTGATTGCTCATTTGCAGCACCAAGCATCAGGGTGACTCTGTGCATCGCGAGTGCTCGGGGAGTAGAATTATTTCCAGTTAACCTCTCTCGTTTCAGAAGAGATTGACCATCACTGTTCCTACTTCCCAGTCGAAATGCATTCTCAATTTCCCATGGCAGCAGGCAGCAGCGGAATTTGATCCAAGGTCGCTACAATGAGTCAGAGATCTTACCTTACCAACTGAGCCGCCATCTATGGTTTCGTACTTGAGTTGGTAAAAGAAAAGGCCACCTGGACAAAGTTAATGAGGATTGTGGACAAATCCATAAGCTCTGCTTTACGCCAAACAAACGACAAGAGTAACGTCTTAATCAAAGTAGACCAAGTGAACGATTATATTGCTAATACACAAACATCCCAAATTAAGCTGGTCTTTAGCAATGAGGGGTGGCTCAGTTGGTCTAAACCTCTACCAACTTCATCTCACACCACACCGCACATTTCATACCTAGCCGTGGGTTCCAATTTCAAGTTAAGATGTGCGGTGTGAGATGATGTTAGTAGATGGTTGGAATATGTTTTGTTGGTAAAAAATTCCAATTTCAGTTGATTTATTAGAGCTATCACCGACTTAATTTGGAGGAAATTTATTATTATACATAAAAAAATGGACTTTTTTCAGATGGGCCAATATTTTAGAAAACGGCAATTGAGAAATTGACTAACCAAACAGTATACATACGTGCACTTTTTGCTATTTTATAAAAAAAAAAATTAAATCTTATTATGACTCCGATGTAACATTATTTTTGAAATATGCCACACTTGTTTCTTTGGCGGTTCACTTTCACTATTAGGGGCAATTGGCCACCGGCGAACTTTTGGATAAAGTATGGCTATTTGACGTTAGCATGGGTGTGGTGTGGGGTAAAAGAGTAATTTTAATTAATATTTTTTAATTAAAAGGGAAAATTCCGGATCAGCACGGCTCAAGTGACAAGTTGTCCCTCAAACTTTAAAATGCGACAATTTAGTATTCGAACTTTTAAAATGTGATAACCCAATATCCAAATTTCTAAAATGTGACAATCTAGTACCTGTTGTTAATCAGTCCGTTAATCAGCCGTTAAGTAATATTTGAAAAGTCAAAAATATCCTAAGAATGCTATCTAATTCTCTTTATCAATCATCTAAACATTGACAATAAAATGAACAGTCCCAAATTTTAGATTCTTCTAAACAATCACCAACTTTTTTGAATAGAAGAATCTAGAATTTAGGATTGTTCATTTTATTGTCAATGTTTGGATGGTTGATAAAGAGAATTAGATGGCCTTTGAAGGACATTTTTGACTTTTCAAATGTCACTTAACGGCTGATTAACGGACTGATTAACAACAGGTGTTGATTGTCACATTTTAAAAGTTTGGGTATTGAATTGTCACATTTTGAAAGTTCAAGTGTCAGATTGTCACATTTTAAAGTTTGGGGACCAAATTGTCACTCAAGCCAAAGTACAAAGTATTGATCGGGAATTTTCCCTAATTAAAAAGACAAATAGAAAAACTAAATAGAGCAACGTATCACATGCAATGTACCCACATCGTCTGCATCATGGTTGCAGGAAAAACTCTGTAACCATCAATGAAAAAAAGTCGCGCACGTTGGTGGATTCTTAATAATTAACGACTGTTTCTACCCAAAATATAATATTTTATTAATTTGTAAAATTTTGAAACCTTCACCCAATTAATCAAATCTTTTGACATTATGCTTTACCAAAAAAAATAGGGTAAATTTTTTAAACTACCCTTTTGGTTTAGCTAATTGACTAAGTGTACCCTTACTATTTGAAAATTAACTAACACTATTCCTACTGTTTCTAACAATTGACTAATATCTCTCTTACCGCTAACACCCGTTAACATAGCGACAAAAAATACTTTTTTACCCTTTTTCTTCTTCAAATTTTCAAAATAAAATAAAGAAAAAGGAAATCAAAACCCTAACTACATTTATGGGGATACATTTGGAGCTGGGAAAATATGGGTGACTCAGTGCAGAGTTGTTAACTGGGTGCAGAGGGGTTGTCGAGCAAAGCCATCGCCGTTCAACCCAACCGGCGAATTCAGATCTTCTTGAGGAACAAGTCTTCCCCTCACCCCAAATGGCGGTGAATTTTACTTGACCTAGTGCAAAGTTGTTAATTGGGTATAAGCTTCATCGTATCCAAGGGGTTGAACAACCCAGTCAGACCTAGTGCAGAGTACACCCCGACCCCTTTTGAGGAACCCCACCTTCCCCGTCTTTGAGATGTCGTTGCAAAGTTGTTAACGTCAGAACTCTGTTTCTAAACCTCTCAACATGAAATTCAAATTCCTTCCCACATACAGTCTTACCTGGACATCAGAAAGTCAAAGAACCAAATGTAGAAAGACAATGGTGTTCCCCTACCTCAAGTTGCAGAATGATCAAAATTCCATAATCCACAATTCCACTTCATGCTCTTCAGGTTCTAGCTTCGGAGGTGTGTTTTCTTCTTCAAAAGCAGAGTCTGTTTACTGAGTTAGATTGTCGTCATCATTTGGAGAGAGATTCAGTTCCACAGCAGAAGCCTCCGAAAAACGAAGGCGATCATTTCATCAAGACTAAAACCAGAGCACTAAATCTGCGATCTAAAGAAGGTGAAGCAACCGACCAATCCAGAGCACCCAAGCAAGCAACCCCTAGAGGATCCTATGTTATTCGACCCTTGAAGGCCAACAAGGCCAGCCAGTTTGTTTCAATTCCACCAAGACCAGTGCTGGTACTGGAAGAGGCAGCGGCAATGACAAAGGGAATAAAAGAGGAAAAAAGAGGGAAAAGAGAAGGGAGAGAATAAAAGAAACTGGAACCGCAAGAACCTTCGTTGTTGGAACCTCCGGTGCCCAATCGAAAACCCCAAAGTCCACTTCCAAATCATTTGTCCATTGGAACTTGGAACTCCTCCTATAACTGCAAATTCAAAGAGAGATGCAATTGTGGTAGTTTGGACTATGGGATCCGTCGTTGCAGCAAACCCCATCTCTTGCCACCAGTACAACCAAGCCATTGTCTCCTCAGCCACCGTTTCCTCTGAGAATCCTTGTATTGGTAAAAAAGAAGGGGAGAAAGAGAAAGAGGAAGAGAGAGGTGAAGGGTAAAATTGGATTTTAGAAAGTATATATATCACGTGCAATGAGTTTTGATGGAATATTAACGAACCTTGACGGTAAGAGTAAAGTTAGTCAATTGTCAGAAACAGTAAGACTAGCATTAGTCAATTTTCAAACAGTAAAGGTACACTTAGTTAATTAGCTAAACCATAAGGGTAGTTTAAGAAATTTACCCAAAAAAATATTATTCGCTCTTCACTCTCCTCTTCCTGCCTCCTTCGATCAATTGTCCACCGGCGATTTGAAATATCCTTTCCCCTCCCTCTTTCCATTTTATTTTGGTTCTTCTTCTTCCCTCTTCCCTGATTCCGCAATCCATTTTTTGCTCAAAGAAAGCTGCTGCAACCACCGATGCCACTCCCTTCTTTCTCTTGCCCTCCCTATCCACTATCAACCGGCGACGGTGGCGTGCACAAACCCCCTATATTTTTGCAGCTGTGGTGTCTTGTAGCCAGATCAATAGGAAGCAATACGAGAACATTTTTCTCTTTGCTGAAACAGTATTTTGAATACCTTTTTTTCATTGTTGAAACGGTACTTTGAATGGTTATGTGCGATCCAAAAGATGTAGAAATGTTATCAAGTAGGTGATTAAATCTACTTACTTAAGACTTAGGCACAAACATATTTAGCCATGGATGGGGTACTTCCCACTGTCCATTACTTTGAACTTTTTGCTCTTCTTGCCTTACACGGTTAAGGAAATCAAAGTTGTGCACTACTAACACTCTCAATCTTAACAATACTTGATTCAGAAGCTGCAAATAAATTTTAGCAATTGCATTCAGCAAAAAAGAATTGGTTCATTACAAATAATATTTAGTATTTAAAATTGATGAGAATTTTGAACCAGAAGATGACCTGTTGAATTTTTTTTTTTCGATAGAAGACCTATTGAATGTTTGTTTCCTCGTTATAGACATTGCCATTTCAATGGTATAAACCACATTCATTCCTCCTACGTTGTTTTTTATGTCCATTCTTATTGAGGGCAAAAGCGACAGAGAATCTAAAGGCTGCGTTTGGAAACAATGCAAATAGAGTGTAAATCCCAGTTTAGGGTAAATTTGCACTATAGTTCACTTTTGCCTGTGTTTGGCAATATTACATTTATGCATTGACAAATGACAGAAAACAAATTTTCCAATGCATATTTACATTGATAATGAGATGTAAAAGTACATCAATATAAAAGAAGTAGATTTGCATTCAAGTGGGCTTTTGATAGAAAAGGAATATACTTTATTGGAATTCGTGTTTGCATCCATAAAGTATATTCCAATAAAGGAATTTACTTTATTGTAGGGGTGACAACGAGCCGAGCTTTTCACAAGCTGTTCGAGAAATATAATTCTTAATATTAATTATTATAATTCTTAATATTTTAAATATAAAATAAATAATTATATATGATTTTTATTTTTATAAAATATTTTTTCTAAATATTTTTATAATAAACTATTTATAAAATATAAAACAAGCCGAGCTCGAGCTTATGAACTTTTTACTCAAGCCGAGCTCGAGCTCAAGGTTTTGGCTCGAACCGAGCTTGAGCCTTGTAGAATAGTCTCGAGCCAAACTTGAGCCTGGCACTATTCGGCTTGGCTCGGCTCAAATCCACCCCTACTTTATTGGAATATATTTTATTGATT